ACATTAAACAAAATTTACTATGTAATTCATGTTTTCTTACTTCAATATCCTGAAACTCCAAAATCATTTGAAATCAGACATGTTTACTAGATATTTTCAACTTGTTTTCAAATGTAGCCACTATAGCAGTTTTAGATATTATATGTAGAGTAATCCTGTATATATACATATCCTCCTTTAAAAAGAAATGTTACCTTTAAGCACCACATAATCATTTCTTCCAAGTATAACTTTTTGACATCAGATCTTGTTAAAAAATTTGCTATTAAAAATACAGCTGCCACAGCGCAAGCATCTTTTAACAGGCAATATAGTTTGCATACCTTTAAAATTCTGGAACATTATACAAAAGTAAAAACAATATATTTTCTCATCTTTCAATGAAACTTTGCTCCAATTTTCCTTTGATTAATAGCATCAATAAATACCTGACAATAATAGTTTGCTCTGGGTCTACATCCTCAGATGTCTCTAGACGAGATAGGGGAAATGGTATTTTTGAGATAATGGACAACCAGACAAGCAAAACATATCTTGTTTCCCATGTTTCCACATCATTTGAGTCTTGCTTCTCAAGCATTCTTAACACAGGCAAGAGGTCCACTACTTCGTGCGGGAGATAAGTAACGATTCTCTTGTACGTCTTCACGGACATGATAATAAATAGATACTTGAACGTATTGTGCTTGACGTTTTCCGGACAATCATCGTCCTTGATAATCGACAGCAGAGATTCTAGGATTTTCTCAAGATACGGATCTAAAAGCTGATGCTGATCCTGATATTGAGATAGAATAAAATTGAAACGATCCCTGTTCCGCTCTACAAGACTCGTCAACAAATCCGGTCGCCTTAGTTCCGCTATTAGTGCGGTCACCTCATCCACCTCCTTAAATGTGCTAAAGCCGCATCCCACCCTCTCCAGGTCTGCGCAATCGTTCAACACCATCATCTAAATCTTGTCGGGTCTACTATTTGCTTGTAACTCGCGTGAATCAAACCGCGTGATGAAACATTCGCCGTTGAGGTAACCATAACCATGCATGGATCAATTTTGACAGCTCCGGCTCATCAATGTCGCCAACATGATAGACAGCGTTACCAAAGCTACGATCCACTTGAAGCTACAAATGTTTCGAAGCATTTTTTGATTGGTCAATCAATAAAATTCTTTCTTCCGATTGGTCAATCAAAAGCTTCGAAGCATTTGTAACGTCAAGTGGACCGCAGCCTAAGTTAGAAGATTTTCCCTAGATTTGGGGGATTTTCATCTCCACCAAAAATTTTTTTGAAAGAACAAAAAGTTTAGGGGAACTTTCAATAGATTTTTTTAGGATAAAAATACAAAGATTAAAGCGGGGAGCACAGACCGCGTAACACCATAGACTTATAAAATAGACGGAGCATTTATACGAGGGAAGTTAAAGACAACACTTAAAGGGCAGCTCTACTCCAGACATAGTTATTTCTCTCTTTTACAGTGAGCAGTGGGAGGCCAATCAGCTTGATCGTAAGGCTACAATTCTCGTCGATCTTCATTGCTCTCGGCCAGCTTGCTTCGGCGACCAATCAATTCACCATTAGAAAAAAAGAGAATTACTCTACAATTATTTCTTTCTCTTTTTATCAAGTCTTCAACTTCTCTCATATGAATGCTCCGTCTATTTTATAAGTCTATGCATAACACAGACATAATGCCCGTATTCATAGTCAGATCTTGTACTTAAGGCTTCCTTAAATTTACCTTTAGGTGCTCAGCATCCAATGAAATAATTCGTAGAGTATCTAAAGATAAAGTTAAGGAAGCCTTAAATATAAGACCTGATGAATACGAGTATAAGAAATTGAATCAATGGCTGCATTCAGCAGAACACAATAGTTTTACAACCGTTTTATGATTCTCTGCTGAGATAAAACCATTCCTCTTGATCTAAAAGCATAACCCAATCAGCGCGAAGAAAACTTCCAATAATTGCAAAATAATCGTTCTGTTGAAAGCAGAACGCAGCCAATCAGAGTTCTTTATTTTATAGAAAGGAAGAAAACGAAGGACTTCGATTGGTACATTTTCTTAGGCATTACGTGTTATGCATTATGCAAGAGTCTGTACTACTCTTACTCATTCATTACTGCTACTGTCATTGTAGACATAATGCATGGTTTACAATGGTTTTACAATGGGCAGTAATAATAGTTGATTAACGAGTAGGCGTAGAAATCGAGCAATCATAATTGATTATTTTTCTCATATTCAACTATGATTGATTGATTTCTATGTCTACTCTTTAAATTACTGTTACTTCATTGTAGATCAGGCATAACAGTAATCTTAAAAATATCTTTTCATGTGCAACACGCTGCGGTAGCAAAATGTCACGTGATGCAAATTCTTCATAATTGCTTCCGCTGCATTTGCTACGCATAAAAAGAAAAAACGGCAACAGCATATGTATTAAAGTTTAATTTCAAATATCTTTTATTTGCTCAGCTCGAAAATTAATATAGAAAACATAAAAAGATAAAACTTGTGATTAGATGGCAAAATTGTTAATGCAGTTATAATTTGGACAATTATCATTTCAGATAATTCAAATTCATTTCAGATTATTTAAAATTTAAAATATTCTCGTCACTTCAAATCTTAATAAAAATGTACTCATTGCAAATATTGCAGACTTTCTCGACTTCGAATTCTTTTCTTCTCGTTATTTATTCGGTTGAACTGCAATGAGATGCGGCAAAATATATTTTGCGTCGGAAGTGCGTCATCTCATGTAAAATTTTTAATAGCAACGAAATACTGCCGCAGCGTATGAAAAGTTAGTTTAAGACGTAAACTTAAGCTGAATAAATTTACTGCTATTTCTATTTCCGTTAGAGTACGTAAATCTAAAGTAGTATCCTGATTGGCTCATCGACTTAAGTTCACGTCTTAGACAATGGTATTTTACGTTTGTCTTTATGACAGAAAAAGAAATGTGATTGGATAATTTTCTTTATGCATATATTAGATGTAGTAAAAAAAAATCCATTATTTTTGCTTGAAATTGAATGGAAAAATAATGGATTTCTTTTTAGTACACCTAATATTTATGCGGCTATGCAAGTTTGTGTGGAATGACCCTTACGTTACTGTTACGGCAGCCCTTAAGGCTTAAAAATCTATTGTAGATCCGGACTAATTGATTATTTTTTTATGATTTAGGGTATATCCACACAAATTGCACAGCCGCATAACATATTATATACATAAAGAATATTATATAGAACATATTATATACATAAACATATTATATACATAAAGAAAATTATCCAATAACTTTCACATTTATAATGAAATCAAAGATGATACACAAGCAAGACTTACGTTCACTTCAGCCTAGTAGCAAGCCATCAGCAGAGATTAAAATTGAGATTGCATTCATTATGATATGATCATCTTTAACTTTTCAAAATTTCTACGAAGTTCAACTTGTGTATTTGATTTCATTATAAATGTGAAAGTCAGAGATATCTTGTTACTGGCAATTTTAATTCCCGTGTATAGAAAAAAGTTACTACGCTATATCTGCGATATAGCGCGGCAGAGTATTCTGCTGCAGATGCTTAAGGTCCTTTATTAGATGTTAGATATGTTTCTTCTTTTGAAATTGACAATGGATGCTCAAGGGTTCTTTCTTTTATCTGATTAATTTACTTAGTGTACTATTAATTTTTTGATCTAGTTTACATTGTTCACTTCGGCCTAACGACAAGCTATCATAGAGATTGCAATTGAGTTGCATTCTGTTATTCACTACGAGAAAATAAAAAATTTACGTTACAAATACTTTACAAAACCTTAAAAATAATTTTTAATCATAGGGAAAAGTTTGATTGGTGATTGAAAACAGAATCCCCTACATTAACTTAACTTCGACGAATATATCTCTCTGGTTAAACGCTATCAAGGATCATTCATGAAACTTGCTAACGCTATCGCGCTATTAGCTCCAAGAATAGCGTTGGTAGTGTTTGCGTCCATAGCACAAATAGTGCCTCCTCGAACACACCCTTTGTAGCGCTAAATAGCGCGAATAGCGTGTCCCTGAACGCATCTTTAGATAACATCGTAGGTTTTAATCATGTAGTAAAATGGCGCTTCACTGTTCGCACTTCGCATTACTAACCACAAACTACATTCCACAAAATAAAAATAAAACTATAAAATAAGTAAGTGTATCGGTATACTAAGCAGAGTATACTCTGCTAGTTATAAATAAAAACTCCTGAGCGATGTAACAAATTTCCTAACCTAACAATATATTTAGATAGGCTATAATTTAATTTACTTATTTTATTTATATTATTTTTACGCTTCAATAAATACGCTTTCAATAAATAATATTTTCGAGTCTGAACGTTTATTATTTTTATGAATTTAAAGCTGCTGTCGTAGCCATCGCACATGAAATAATGAAATCATGCATGGTATACCACTATAAAGGTCTGCTGGACCAATAAGAAGGTATATAAATGAAAAAGGCAATTTTTAAGGTAATTTCGTTTCAATTTACTCTTCATCTTTTTTTAATCTTTAGAACTAGAAAAAGACGAAAAGTAAGACTGGAATCAGACGCATTGAAGATTGAAGATTGAAATTTGACCAATGAAGACAAAGGAATTTTAGTTTTAATTGATCAAATTTCAATCTTTCAATCTGCAATCTCAATCTTCAATGCGTAGTCTAATTCCGACCTAAGTGAATCGAGATTAAAGTTCTAAAATCTACATTGGTGAAGACAATGAAGACAAAGGAATTTTAGTTCTCATAGTTTTAATTGGTCAAATTTCAATCTTTCAATCTTCAATCTCAATCTTCAATGCGTAGTCTAATTCCGACCTAAGTGAATCGAGATTAAAGTTCTAAAATCTACATTGGTGGAAATGGACACTAATGATCTAATTATGCAATACTCACTGTATCGTATTCCATTTGAAATGGATTTTTAGAATTCTAACGTATATAATACATTTTATAATACGTTTTATACGGTATTATGTGTACGAAATGCCAATTCTGCCCTGCCTCCACATGAGGCGACTGTCGCCATCTATCGACGCTCACAAAGGCGCGTCTTAATCATCTGAAATAGGCGCTTATTCGCACTATACCTATACCACACTATTCGTAGTGTTCGTAGCGCTTCGCTCGTATTCGCTCGGTCTCGGTTCGTCGCGTAGGTTGCGTATGAATCGTATATAGAAAAGGTTTATCCCTTATCCTTGACTCCGTAAGTGTGTCGCGGCCAAGTTGTCTCCTGCTGTGATCGTCACCACGCTCTCGTCAACTCTCGTGTGCCCTCGGACCGATCAAAAGGAAGTCATCCAGCCGACCAATCAGTCGCTGGAGTTAATCGTGCCTCCGTCACGTATCTCCGTCGCGCTCTAACCTCAATTGTATCTCTGCGTCCATCACGCTTCCTCTTCTCTTTAACGCCCTGCCCCTCCATCCTTTTGACGCGCTCCTCTCTTTTTCCTCCTCCTCTTCCTCCTCCGTCGTCGCTGCCCTCTTCCTGTCGCGCGTACGTTCCGCGCCGTTTGTCTCTTCCTCTCCCGCCCTCTCTCTTTCTTTCTCTTTCTCCCTCCCTCCCTTCCATTTAGAATCGACTTAGTGCAAATTTACGTGTGTGTACTACGGACAGCATCGGACATCCAGGATGCAAGCCATCAAGTGCGTGGTCGTCGGCGACGGGTACGTAACACGCGGTGAGCCACACATCCGGCTCGGGCACGACGAGGACGCGACGGGGACGTTTATTCCCGGGACGCGAACCAAACTCTTACCTGCTTTCACCTCCTCTATCGACCTCCTTCCTGTTTTCCTGGAGCGCGAGCGTGATGGCCTCGTCTCGCCAGCGAAGCTCTACCACGCCCGTATGCGGGCCTCACGATACGACGTTGACGTGTTCGCGAGGACGTGACATTTTTCTCTGTGCCACGGTTGATGACCGATGACGAAAGACAGCGCGGCAGATCAATTTGTTAGCTCAGTCTAGAAGAAAAGACTTGTTCCTATTGTTGTGATTGAAAAATCATTCTGCGCAATGATTCATCTAACAAGATGTTTCCTGAGAAATAAACTTATTCTTATATTTGTATTTATTTATATCAGCCAGTAGAGCAATGGATACTATGCATATTAATTGCTATATTTCTGTTCTCTAGTGCGGTAGGTAAAACATGCTTATTGATAAGCTACACCACCAATGCATTTCCTGGGGAATATATTCCAACGGTATTCGACAACTATTCTGCGAATGTGATGGTCGATGGAAAGCCAATTAATCTTGGCTTGTGGGACACAGCGGGACAAGAGGATTATGACAGACTACGGCCGTTGTCTTATCCACAAACTGATGTCTTTCTCATCTGCTTTTCATTGGTGAACCCGGCAAGTTTTGAAAATGTGCGTGCCAAATGGTATCCGGAAGTACGTCATCACTGTCCTGCTACTCCAATTATTCTAGTTGGCACTAAACTAGATCTGCGTGAGGACAAGGAGACTATCGAACGTTTGAAAGACAAAAAACTAGCTCCCATTACTTATCCTCAGGTTTGTTTTCATTATTTCTATATATTGATACAAAATTTATAAAGTTAAAATTTATAAAGTATACATTTGGATTAAAATTATATGTATATATTATAGAGTAGAGAGAAAGAAAGAAAGAGTGAGATAGTTGAAAAGTTACATTTTGACTGTATAACAAATACATTGCAAGTTAATACAAATATTAAGATGATTGCACAATACAATAACAATTTCAATCAATATAATAAATATTGTTATAAATATCTAGAGAATGTTATTAAAAAGCTTTTGCAATACCGTGTATCTAGATATGACGAACACTAATGTCATGTTATTTAGTGGAAATTTGAATTGCACATGTGCAGTTTGACTTTCCACTAAATAACGTAACTTTAATGTTTACCATATCTGAAAACATGATATTGCAAAAACTCTATTATTTCAAAATGTGTCTCATTCATAACAGGGTTTAGCAATGGCAAAGGAGATCGGTGCTGTAAAATATTTGGAATGCTCCGCTTTGACACAAAAAGGCTTGAAGACTGTGTTTGACGAAGCGATACGCGCTGTACTGTGCCCGGTTCTGCAAGTGAAGCCAAAGCGCAGATGTTTCCTTCTATAATATTAAATGTATCCCTCTTTGCACGTTGGTACTGGAATGTGCTAAAAGTGTCTCATCTCATCTCCAAAGTACCAAGCACTAATCGAATCAATCGGGTAAATTATCGACTATTTGGAACCCCAGTTGTACCAGCCTATATCAGCTTAGAGGCTGCAATCATCTACCAGCATAAGCGCACAAATGTCAGTTCGGTATAAATTTCCAGCGAGCAAAACAAAAGAGGGTTCACAAAGGAGAATCGTGAATTTGAGATATAAATTCGTTTTTATGTGGTCTCTACCACATTTTAAATGAAAATATAAATTAATTATTGAAGTTTACTGCTGTCTATGCGAGCCAAATTTCCAGTTTAGACAGTTTAATCACATTATAGGGCTATAAATGCAAATTGACTGGATGTTCTAAGCAAAAGGAGTGTAAAAGAAGCCAAAATAACTGAACTAACTACTGTACAGTATACTAGAAGAAGTACGTTATTAATATTACAATTAATTAATAATTATATAATGAATGGGTAAAAGAAAAAATATTACTATATAATTGTCCAAACATTGACTGTATACTGATCAGTTTAATCAAAGAGGAAAACCATTTTATGCTATTCGCTATTGTACATTTTAGATAGGACACGTATAGTTAATGTATTTAAAATGAAGGAAAAAAGAGAAAACATAGTAGTTTTCCTTATAAAAAAATTTCAATATGCATCAAGATATAAATTCAGAGAGAAAGAAGAGAGAATATTTTTTAGAGATATGTGTGTAGAATATATGGCAAACCTCTTTGGAAGATATTCATATAGATGTCATTATAAATGTGAATAACGATAATGCCATGCATATATACATTTCTCCAAGTACTTAGAGCAACCATAAGTATTTTTTTTATTCCAAGCATTCAACACAATATGTTATCAAAAGCTTTAATAAAGCTTCGACAGAATCGTGTTTTCTTTCGCAAAGAGATTAATCTTTGAAAAACACTGGTCTGTTATGTTCGTAAAAATCTTAGGTTTATTTGAGAAATTGTATATAAAAATCTAATTGAAGGTGTTAGATGCGTAATCAAATGCCATTCAATGTTCACTGTGCACGTCCTATATTTAATTCTGTTCACATATGCAATAGTTTAAAAATAGTTTCGCTTCGAAGATGAGTTCAATTTTGAAATGAGATAATTAACCAATAGATACGCAAAAAATAAAAAAAAACTGATAACTATATTTTCCGAAGTGGAATCGGTAGCGCAGCGGCCGCATAATATGGCTTCCTTCTTCCACTAAATTGGTTAACATTAAATGTTACATACCGTAATTTAAGAGAGAAAAAAATAGCTAACTGTACAAGAATTTTAGATGTATGTGATATAAGTATAAATGTCAAATTGCGAGTTTAACAGTTTCTCTGCTTCGTATTGTTTCACTTGCAAATGATGATTTTCTGGCGCGATGATAATCTGTGATTAGTGCACAATTCATCACATTCTTTCTCACAGAGAATTATGTGATCATCAGGTCGAAATTAAAAGAAAAAGAGTGTAATGTTGCATTTAAAGGAATAGAATATGACTATCGAAGCAGAGGACGCGCGAATATATCATGTATGCGAGAAAGCGAGAGAGCTATTGTATGGAAGAAAGAACGAATGCGAGAAGTACGAGTAAGTATGTAATGAGAGAAAATCTGCTATGATATAATAACTGTGTACATAAATGCTGAACTTCGAATGTATTCTTTCTTATTATTACGTATAATGTATGATTTT